GTCTCAGTGCTGTACTTTAACCTGCTGTGCCACCAGGGAGGGCCTAGAATATCTTTTTAATCTAACATAATTGAGATTATCAAATCACTTGCCAACATTTAAGAGCAAACATAGTAAAGCTAAATTCTTCTCTCTCTCTCTCTTTTTTAGATTTATTTATTTATGTGTACAGAAGTGGGGTATAGGCCAGAGGTGCAGGGAGAGGATTCACCAGAGACAGAGTGGGGAGCAGAACAGGCGGATCTACAAAGTACACTGCTGAGGGGAGCAGCGGGTGGGTCAGGAGAGGTCTGCTGCGCCAATTGGGTCAGTTCCCCGGCGGGGGATCGAACTAGTGCTGCGGTGGTTTTGGAGAGCTTCATAATGACTGCTTTAACCCACTGCACCACCAGAGAGGGCCAAATTCTTTTCTTAAAAAAAAAAATTTTTTTTTTTAAATGTTAAAAGGACAACTTTATTAGGAATAAAAGAGCAAAGGAGAGGTACCTGCACAAACACAGGTGGGCAGAGAGCTGGAGCCGCAAAGTTAAAATTTTAATTGGGATTTTGAGCTTAACTGAGAATTACTTTGACCTTTGAAAACAAAAGTGAGTGAGAAGCACAACTTAATTCTTCATAAATATTAAAGATTTTTGTTATAAGTCTATGAGCTTTTGTGATTCTTCCTTGAATAGACATTGTACACGTGTGTGTATTTTGTGTTTTAAGTTCTCTGTATCCTCATGGCAGGCACATTATTATTTTGGGGATCTGGGAATGCTGTTAATATTAATTGACAATAAAAAATTTTTTTTGAGCATTGTTCAACTCAAATAATCCATTTAATCATATCAAATAGAAACTTTGTATTTTTGGGTAGTAGGGGGAAATCTATACTTGGCTTACTTTTGGTTATTAAATGACCCATATTGAACATTTTGGTCTAAAGTTAGACACTTGAAGGAACACCACTAGTGTAAAAAACCTCGAGTAGGTTAAGTATTTAAAACTTTGGTATCTTAAGTTATAGCTTGCATTCTATCAAGCTAGACATGACTCACACAGGCTAATCTATATAATGTAGTGCTCCACCAGCTGTGTGTGTTTTTAGGTTCAGATGTCTAAATAAGTATTTCTTGAAACGGATTACACATTTGTGTCAAGACTTAATAGTAATGTGTATAAAAAGGGCATAACCACATTTTAGATTTGAGTGGACAGTTTACTTGGCCAACCCTTCTTGTGTAACACAAGGCCCCATGAGATCTCATTTTTTTTTTTGATATTTCCTGTTTGCTTATTGATCTGTTTTATACAGGCAGAAAACTTAGGAACCACATTGTACAAGAAGTGCTTAATACGCATTTGTTGGTAAAATGAAGGAAGCTAGTCTACCGAAGTTACTAACTGTAGTTGACTATATTTTAGGTTGACTGAATTCAACACGGTAAGTAGAACTGATTGATAAGTTCAACTCATTGAGTTGAAATTTCATTAGACATTTCTATAATTTAGACTTATCACTAACTACTTTTATAATGAATAAGAATAGAACTAATATTCTTGATGCATATTGTATGCCTAACAAGGAGCTAAGACCATATGTAGGTTTTCTGATTTCATCTTAAACAACAATCCTGTGAGGTTCAGACTATTATTTCCTCTTATTTTCCAGGTGAATAAACCAAAACAGATTAATAACTGGCTCAGAAATATGGTAAGTTAAATATATGCACTTATTTCTCTCTTTCTAAACCTAACTTAAATGATAGTGAAGGAATAAAAGAATATCTAGATCTAAAAAGACAAAGACAACAGGGAGACACAAGAGCAGTTAACAAAATTTTAGAAACTAGAAAACACAAGAATGATTCTAAACCGAGTTAGCAGGCTGAGGAATCTTGGGTCAAGTCTGCAATACGTGTGATCCCTTCACTTCTCAGTTCCCAGGCCCTAGGCTGGTAGGCGCATGCTGTATCCTTCATTGACCCTCACTTTCAAGTCGCTCACACTCCCAAAACAGGAGACTGGAATATTCTTTCTGGGGAAACCAGCTAGTTCAAGAGAAGAAACTGAAGGTACATTTGAGGAACAGGATTTGTGCCAATGAAAATGCTCAGCTCACCTACAGAGAAGCCCACTTTCAACAGTCCCACCCTCCAGCCCCCCATAGCCTTCCAATTTAGTTTTTAGTGCTTCAGTCTCAAACATGAGTGAAGAATCAAGGATTAACAGATATTAAAGGAAGTTTCTAACATGAAAGAGAGTAAAAAAAATTAAAAGAGGCCCTCCTGGTGGCGCAGCGGGTTAAAGCACAGCACTGAGAAGCTAAAGCCACTTCCACATGAGTTCGATTCCCGCCTGCCCCAGAGGTGACCACATGGCGCGGCAGACCTCTTCTGACCCGCCCACTGCTCCCTTCTGACCCACCCACTGCTCCCCTCAGCAGTGTACTTTGTCGATCTGCCTGTTCTGCTCCCCACTCTGTCTCTGGTGAATTCTCTCGCCACCCCTGAGCCTCTGGCCTGTACCCCAGTTCTGTATGTACAAATAAAAAAAAATTATTAAAAAAAAATTAAAAGAAATAAAAACAGTATAGGAATTAGAAAATTTTCAATAATCTATAATATCCTCATAGTTAAAATATATATGTATGTATGTATGTATGTGTGTGTGTGTGTGTGTATGTATAGATAAATAAAAAAAGAAACAGATTAAAAGGAAGTAAATAAGGTATCCAGGATAGTCTGTGGCAAAGACCCACAAGAAAGCATGTGGACATTTCAGACCATGTGGATCAAGAAGATCCTAAAAGTTTTCAGAAAGACTGAAAAAACAAACAACCAAACACTAAACTTTTCAGAATGCTCAAACCTGTCAACACATCACACACAAATATTTTATAGCTCTGGAAGAGTTTAGGGCTACATAATAGATGGAAGGAGACTAACCCAGTGAAAAATTGAGGCAACCACTAACTCCAGGAAAAACAAGTTGTACAAGGATAGGAAATAGAATCAATGGATATAATGAGTCTAAGCTGAGAATAATTGATCATAATTGATAATAATTGTAAATATTGCAGAGTGATTGAGTAAAAGAATTATATGAAATAGGAGAAAGAGGAGAATGAAAATGTGAACATACACATGCTTGTGTGTCATATGGATGGGGTGGGTTAGTGAACTAAAGCTTCATCTTCCATAGTAGGAAGTCAACTGACTACTAAAAGTGAAGAAAATCAGTAAAAAGCAGTTTAAATATGTTATGTAGAAACATGGAGATATATTACAAATAAGGTAAAAATTAATGTTTTTGGGGAATGGAAATTAGGGATAGAACAGGAGGCTATTGTAAGTTTTAAAAAGATGTACATGTATTGCTTTAGAAAACAGATTAAATGTAAATGTCAAAAATAACTTCCCCAAATTCATACAGCCAGTAGTGGAATTGGCATCTGAATGTGAGCAATGATTTCCAGAGGCCAGACACTGAGGGCTTTTTTATTTTTTGTAAATTTATTTTGGAAAAGATACACAAAAATAACAGTCCCTTCTCTGATCAGATTTGGTGGTAACTGCATAAAGATGGCATAGAAAGTCTTCCTTATTCATTAACAGTATAGCAACACATTGGATGGTACCTACTCATTCACAATTTGATGATGGGAAGGAGGCCAGCCCTGGCCTGGGGTGGGGAGAACAGAGGTGACAGCAAACCAAATGAAGGCGTGTAAAAACACCCTGCCTTTCACGCACATATCCTTGGGGTGCCCCAGAGACTGTTTCCCTTTGTGGGACTTGTGGTGCTGATGGGAGGAATAGGGCTAGGAAGAACAGTACCACAAATAAAACTAGCGTGGAAATTGGATTTGCAGACTCCATTTCTAAATTCTCATATTTAAACCCCCTGCAAAAGTTTATATATTTAGATTCAAATAACCATGTGAAAATAAAAACCACGTCAACTTTAGGGATATATTTAAAGAAAATAATAGTATTTGAAGTGTTGCTGCCTGAAACCTAGAAATTTACCCAGAGAAAAATGAAGGCAATTATGGCTTTTCTGTAGGTGCTACACTCATTTTGTAAGTTAGTTTATTTTTGACCTTTGAAAGGGCCATTTACAAATATCCATGAGAATGGAAACTAGAGTTTTGATGGTGATCAGAATGTGAAATGTACAGATATGGAAGGATAAAGGCTGCACAGCTGACAGTTATGCAATGTGACAAACCAAAGTCAACCAAAAATATATTGAGGAGAGACCACTACTGTAATGTGCTGCAAGGATTAAGTAACAAGCAGAGAGAAAAAGAAAAAGCCAACCAAACAAGAAAGACAGTGTGGTATTAGATGGGGCAGGGTGGGAAGCTTTTACTTAATGTATCTTAGAAATCTGCATGTCACGACCCTCTGGCCTACCTGTCCTTCTTAATGGCTGCATGATATTCCATTTTATGCATGCAGTTTATTTCATGTACCTCCCATGGTCGAACATTTGAATTAGTTCCAGGAGTTTCTTGTAAACACCACATGATTAAATTCCTTGAACATATATTTTTTGTTCAATTACAGTTTTAGTTTAAATCCATTTGCAGATTGATAGCACTCTAGGGACTCTTTTCTCTAAGTAAAAATTAAAACTCTTTCCTGCTATGTTTAAAGGACTGAAACAAATTCAGAAACGCTGAGCCTACTGGCTTGCCCCAAACTGAGCAATGAAAAATGTCTATTTTAACAAGTAAGAGATGCTAATTATTATTTCTTTCAAGAGGTGGTTCCCAGCTACTAGGGTTAAGTGTACAAACACAAAGAGGACTCTGTCATTACCCTTTAAAGCACACATAGTTCTGTAGGTTTTGGCTCACAGAGGAGCACCTGGGGGAATCAACCTAGAATTCTGCTCCTCGGATAAAGGAAGAACAAGCAATTTGGCCCATGGAGTGAGCCGTAGTTTGTTCTCTTGATCTCTCTTGGCCTTTTGTGAACTCCCCACTACCAAACTGTGCAAATAAAAGCAGGCAGGAGACCTGTGAGAGGGGAGGGTGTGAAAACCTGCTTTCAATACAGAAGGGCTTCCGTTTGGACCCTGCCCGTGCTGCCAGGAGCCGGTGGGGCCAGTACCTTGCAGTGCTGATTTGGACACAAGAACAAAGAGACCAAGAACGGTCAATGTCAATCTTAAACTATTCTAGAAAACAGAAGAGGTAATAATGTCCGCCCTATTCCAGGTGTAACCTTGATATTCAAATCAAGTATTGATTCGATAAGAAAGAGCAAGTGTATGCCATTTTCCACCGATGAACGTTGATGCAAAAACCCTAACCACATTATTTATAAATGATCCACTACCAAACCTCATACAGTCACCACAAACATGCACGATCAACTGAAATTTATCTCAGCAAGAAGCACTAAAGCCTGCTGGTTAAAACATGCTGTTGTCCGACTGGGGTTTGGGTCCCGGTTTCGTCACCTGATTGCATGTGACTGTGCCAGGGATGGTGGTTCATTTGCCCTGCTTGTCAAACGGAGACAAATCTCCCACCGTGTTGTCGTGGGGATTAAATCAGTCGACAGCAGTAAAGTGCTTGGCATAACGATGATGTATTTTTACTAAGGTTCAAGCATATGCAAGGAGCGACTCTATTATCATTACATCACTGTTGCCTTAACACTTCACACACTGCCAAGTGCTGTCACTTCTGTGATCTCTTCCTACCATCAGCGAATGAACAGATAAGGTTCCAGCTCGAGACTTCTGTGATTCTGGTTCTAAAACTATCAAATAAGGAGGTAACCTCCAAGGTTCCTTTTCAGCTCTTAAAATAAAATCTATTTTGCAAGAGAAGTTTCTGGCCAAGATGGTGTGAACTGACTTGCCGTAGGTCCCGGACAGTTGTTGGTAGATTCAGGATTAAACTGGGTCTCCCATATTCATTTGCATTACAGAGATACACTAATACTGATAATTTCCCTAGGCTCCCCGGTCTGCACTTCTGGGGATTGGAAGGGACCCGCACAGGCAGGCGAATCACCTGGCATCTTTCTGATTGTTAACAGAGATACCCAGTGACTTGAAGCACCTAACTTGTCAGGTGGGAACCGGCAGAGAGATCTCTTCGGTGAACATTCACAAGGCAAGGGCAGTACTGGTAACAGCAGAGGAAGAATTACCTGGGCAAGCAGTCCTGGTTGGATCTGAAGAGGCTGAGCTCCAGGGGCTTGTGTGACGATGGGAACCGCATTTTCCATGCGCACGGAGTAGCCCGCGTGCTTAGAGGGCGAAGCCTGCAGTCCTGCTCGGGGCAGTGGGCAAGGGGAGGAAGGGTGAATGGTGGGAAGCAGTGGGAAGGAGAGATTCTTCCTTGTCAGCTGTGGCCAGCTCTCCGCTCCCTCCCTGTCTCCACAGGCCCTGTCTGGACTTGGGCAGCCTCCCCTGTTGTTTCTAACTTGAAATTTAAAAAAACAACAACCAATCTTTAATGTGTTCAGAGGTTTGAAGGTCAAATGAAGGTGCCAATAAAGCCACAGGTGAAACAGAATGGCCTAATTAGGCCGGGGGGGGGTGGGGCGCTACTGCTCGAACATATACCCGGGTACATCAAGCCAGGGCGCCAGGGAGACGCACCACACCTGTGCTTATGCCACGTGGTTTGCAAAGACACATCCTTGAGCTTTCTGTGAGAGCTGTAACCAAGGACGCAGTCAACTGCCTTCTTAGGGTTCTTGGGAGACGAGGGTTGGGGTGCATGGACAAAGACCGCTGGGGGAGGGGCTGTCCTGGGAGGTGCTGCTCACACAGAAGTCAGCCTTGCCGGCTGGCAGAGATGAGCAGTGTCTGGGTAGTTCACGGGCATCGCAAGAGTTGACATTGGGGTGACACTGTGCTGATGGACCGACAGCCGGCCAGGGACAAAATGACTGGCAGGTGGCGAGAGTGACAAGGTGACTTGGGCTGAGCGTAAGCCCCATTGTCCTAGGCTGGCCATGGAAGACAGGCCCCTCTGTTCGCTCGTGCCGCTGCTCGACCAAAGAAACAGGACTACTTCGGGGAAGTCAGCGGGACCGGAGACCGCGGGCCCAGCGCCCAGGGGCTGTCCCCTCAGAAGTGGGCGGGAGGCTGTGCCTGCTCGTCCTTACCTTGGAAGCCAGGGGGACACACGATGAGAGCTTGCTGGAAGGGGTCCGGCCGGGTGCAGATCTGGGCTGTCCCCGTCTGCAGGGGCATACTCCGCTGGGCCACCGCAGCCATGGACGCCGCTGAGGGCTGGTAGAGTGCAGATTGGTAGTTTAGTATGGAGACTTCGGGGTTGGATAAGGAAATAGTGGCACTGGTGGAGGAGGGAGCCTAGAGGAATGATGGGGATTGAACAAAAATAAACAAAAATAAAAAATGAGGGAGGTGGCATGGGGGGGGGGGAGACACGAATCCAAATCAAATAAATGAACTTAGAGAAGAACCAACAAACAAAAATCAAGAGCAAAAAAGCCAGAATGGAGGGGGTGGAAATACAGCCGAAAAGTCCCAGGGAAAAGCAAGCAGCGATGGCCGCGTGACCTTCGCTGCTAAACTCAGGCGTAGGCCGGGGCTCTGCACGGCTCAGCCAGTGGGTGCTTGCGCCCTGCATCGTGGCAGAGCTGAAATGGAAACGGCGTAGGTCCTGCTCGGCCACTCTGGCAAGCACACCGTGCTAACAACCGGAAGGCCAGGGCCTGCTCAGGGAAGATTCTTGGGTGCTTTGGGCTCTGCACTGAATGGGGTAACGGGAGCACTGCTGCCACCACCTTATCCCACACCCAGGGCCTCTGAGCCACACATCGGCCTGCCGGCCCGTGCCGCGCTCTGTTCACGCTTCCCCCGCTTGGAGCTGTGAGCTGGCCCGTGCTCAGGAGCACGAGTCTGGGAGAGGCCCGGCTCGGGGCTGGGTCAGCGCTCTCGGACTCCCTGGGATGGCTTCGGGCTCGTCCCTGCAAACCAACATGCTCTGGCAAGAGTAGGGGACAGGCCGAGACTCGGGTTTCTGGCTTGATGCATGGAGATGGGTGAAGCAAGTATGGAAGGGCACGTGCTTTTTCCTTTCTCCTTCAGAAAGAGACCTCAGCTGAGACTGCACTTCCCTGGGAAGCAAGGCCATGGGAGGAAAACAGATGCTAACCCAGGAGTTCTCCAGCTGCACCCCATCTCTGCCTTGGCTTCGAGTTCACTCAAGTTTGCAAGGACTAAAGGCGGAGAGGGCTGTGAGCACACATGCGCGCACACACACACGCACACATGTATACACACACACATGCACACGTGTGCACACACACACGAGAATTTCAAGGACAGTTTGAAACGCTGTCAAAATTGACAAAGGTGTGAATTTCAGTGCAAAGCAAAGTCATTTACGAGTAATCACTACATCACAGCGTGTGTGTGCGCTTGGGTTTTGAGGTTCCTGTAGTCACAGTGTCTGTCCCTGCAGCACCCCACAGTCACGTAGGTAGCATGGCTGGGAACGAGACGGGCCGCGCCTGTTAGGGGCGATATGACTGCGTTTCTTGTCCTGTCAGCAGACACACATTTCCTGTGCTCAGAGCCTGGCCAAGGCCCACACTCGCTCAGGTCTCGCCCCTCAGGGCTTGCCTTGGTGTGGCGCCACAGCCTCAGCTCCCACCCTGGCCCTGCTGCTTCCTCCTCTGAAAGGGCCGGAGCCAGGCCCTTTCCAGTCGGGCCTTCCTCCACGGAGCCTCTCTGTGCCGGACTGTGCCCTCTGGCCTCCACTTCCCTTTCCATACTTCTTGGGCATAGAGGGCAGAACATTCTTCCCTGCCCTGCTCCACAATCTCACGTGACAGCCCGACAAACCGTGCCCCGGGTCTGGCTCGCCTCCTGCCCCACGGTGAGGCCTGCCCTTTCTAAATCGACTGCCCTCCGCCCGCCATGCTCTTGGCTCTGGGCGCAGCCCAGCTATCTGGCCCTTCGCATTGTCAGCAGACAGCCCAGGCCGCTTGGTCTGGGCCTCCCGCCCACAGCAAGACCCTCTGACACCCGTTTTAAAGCCCCTTCCTTTGCTCGCACGCAGCTTCAGCTTCCGGGCCAGCGCCCACTCCGGCCCACAGGACTCCCCCTCGCCGTGATTCCATCACACGCCCTGCTCCCCTGCCTGCAATCCCACGTGCTGGTCCGCGCGCCATGGTCTCTCACCATGGGAACACAGCTCCTCCAGAGCCCGAGTCCTAGCTCTCTGTAGACTTGCGGACTGATGGCACTGTCTTGACTTGGGCCCCAGGCCCCAGGGTGGCGATTATGCAGATTGTTCCCCTCAAGTTTTAATCCTTGAAGAGGTACCCCAAAAGGGGGCAAAGTTCTCTGCTTCTCTTAGACACCCTGTGGTGGAAGGGTAGCTAGCCCATCACCTGTTAGAGGAGCACAGAATCGGCAAGGGCTGCCACAGCTGCCACATTTATGAGAAAAAGCATGTTTATTGGTAACAGAGGTTACCTAAAAAAAAGGAAGCAGCGGTCCCTGGAAACAGTTATAGGTTTCAGATGACTTGGCATTCAGAAGGAAGGAGTCAAGCTTGGCCTATAAAGCCAGGTGAAAATTCGGCAGAAGCCTAGGTCTGAATAGTAGAACACCGTGGAAATGCTAAGAGAAGCAGCCAGTTGTCTGGTTAAATACGGGACACCCAAGAGAGGGCTCCCCTGAGATGTGTTACTACTGGGGTAACCTAGAAGTTTTAGGAAGCAGAAGTCAGTACCCACGGGGGAAAAGGGCCCTTGGTCAGTCAAGCAGATACTAGTTGAACACAGCAAGGAAGTTCACGTAGCTTCATGTCTTACTTCTACCCACGTGACTGTGGAAGTACTTTCTTGCTTCCAAATATCTCAACGGGCAAACAGCTCAAGCAGCTCAGCAAAGATGAGCATTCTCCCAGGAGCACTAGCGAACAAAGGCAGTCTGGCTGAATTAAAGAGCAGACGCCCCTGGGGGAGGAATTAAGAGCTCCCGTGATTTCTGGTGCTGTGTGAGCATGTGGGGATTTTCAGGGTGCCAGGCTCAGAGCCCTGATGAGCTTGGTAGCTGTGGTCAAGAGACTCTCTCCATGCCTCAGTTTCCTCATCTAAGATGGAGGTGATGAGGAAGAAGATGATGATACCTATCTGACAGTGGGTCTAGGAAGCCACTAGTAATGACGCCATTACTCCGACGACATGCTCAGAGGAGGGGAAGCAGGCCTCAGCACTTAGGGTGGGTGTGTCCTGAGTAACACCCCGCACCCCACAACTGATTAATTTTCTGTTAGTGGTTGGAAACCTGTGGTAAGAAAGCCTTAGCTCCCCCCGTCCTTTTTAGTTCTCCATGCTCAGTGAACTGACTCCCCTGGTGACTCGGAAAGGGGGTAGGTTTTTATCTCATGTGGACCCACAGGCCTGAGGCAAGGGGTGGGGGGATCCTAAACTGTCCAGCCCTTGACGACCCTTCCAGTTCTAGGGTTCTTTACCAGGCAGTTGTCAGACAGAAGAGGACCATGCATCTCCTTCATGTCCACAGCAGGCCAGAGAAGAGCACTACGGGGAGCCGTCTGAGAAACAACTCCCTCTGAGTCATTTCTGGGTAGAAGTCTGGGTCTCCCCACAGTTGACCGTACAACGTGGGCATCTTGACCGTGACCAGGGGTTTGCTCTTCCTGCCAGGCTGGGCGGGAAAGTAGAGTTCCGACCCTCGCCCCCACCCCGCCTCCCCCGCCCCGTCCCCGCTCACCTGGTTGTGGACAGTGTTCAGCTGGTTGTTGAAGGTCATGGTCAGGTTGGTGGACGTGCTGGGGGCCACGTGTGTGATGAAGGGGGTTTTGCTCTGGTTCACCGTGTCGTACATGTTCACCCTGCGCTTGCAGATCTCCATGTTCTGGAAACATGACTTGACGCTGTTCAAGGAAAGGCAGAGACAGGTGAGAAGTGGGACCAAGAAGAGGCGACACGGGACCACGGGGGAGGGGACGGGGGACAGTGGACGCAGCGAACGAGGCCCAGGAGAAGTTGCACTTGAGGCCCAGACTTCCTGGCGTTCCCATGCCAAGTCTGCACCCCCAGAGTGGGCGTCGTTTAACGAACGTCCTCCCAGGCCCCCACGCTGGCTGGGGAGCGGTTCTCCCTGGCGCCCGGGACATGGCCGCTCTCACGGCATTTCCCTCATATTGCCAACCTGTCTCCATCCTCACTGCTCGTTCTCAGCGTTCAGTGAGGCTTCTGGTCTGTGAGCAAACATCTGAGTTCTCTGACGGGAAACATTAAGCAGCAGCTGCCTACCTGCCTTCGCCTTGGAAGACATCTACCTCCATGCCCGCACCCATGCCAGCCACTCCGGAGCACCAGCGCCACCTACGGGCTGCCAGAGAACCAGCAGCCTGGCAGGGTGCAGGGCGGCAGCTCTCTTCCCACGCCGCCTTGAGCACGAATGGAACAGTAATGATCCTAATAATTAACAGCAGGGGCCAATTTGATTGGGAGCCGGGGCGGTTGCTTGCAAACATTCTTCCACTTGGCCCTACAACCATTACAAGGGGGAGACACGATGACTGCCCGATTTGCTGAATAAAGGGGAAGCTTACGGCTTACGGGATAGGGACGCTGCCAGGGTCAAGGGCTGATTATTCACAACCTTCACATATATGGACATGTTCCTCCCCCCTTTTCTTTTCTTTTAAAGATTGATTTATTTGTGCATACAGAAGTACAGGGGTACAGGCCACAGGTGGGGGTGGGTAGTGGAGAGGATTCCCCAGAGACAGAGTGGGGAGCAGAACAGGCAGCGTGACTGACATACACTGCTGAGGGGAGCAGTGGGGAGACAGGAGCAACCTGCTGCACCCTGTGGGTCAGCTCCGGGGCCGGGGGCTGAACTTGTGCTGAAGCGGCTGCAGCCAGCTTCGCAGTGCTGCACTCTAACCGTTGTGCCACCAGGGATTTCCTTCATATTGCCAACCTGTCTCCACCCTCACGTCCAGGCAGGGAGGGCCTGGACATGTCCTCTTTAACCTCCATGCTTCCTTTTTCTTTCCTCCTCCTCACCCAGTTACACGAAGTAAAAATTCTCTCCCTCTTGTCCTCCTTGTTGCACTAGTCAATCAAAACAAAACCCCGCTGCGAAGGTGAGGTGTGTCAGCAAGGCTGATGCCAGCGGAAGGAGAGGGGCCACAGGAGCCCGGGCCACAGGAGCCCTGGCCACGAGAGTGCCCGCGAGCATGGCCACGCATCCTCCAGAACGCCCACACAGCGTCTCACGCACCTCACTGTGTAAGCCCCGAGCTGGCCTTTCCTCACCTGCTCACATTCAAGGTAAAAAGCCCGCACTTAAACTTCAGTTTTAAGTATTTTAATTAATGTAACGAGTAGAAAACAACAGTTCTCTGTTACCATAGGACTGTAAACGGATATGACTTTGCATACTCTAGATAAGCTGTATTTGGGGCCACGCTTGTGGTGTCCTCAAACATCCTTCCATAAAAGATGTTCCAAAGGGACTTAGGCACGCGCAGAGAACCCTCTTCCTGAGTGAGTGGCTAGTCCCGCCCTACACACCGCCACACAGCAAACACTGCTGACCACCCTGAGGGAAGGAAAGCGACTGACAGGACCCAGAGCTGCGAGCAGAGAGCGTGGACGATGCCCGCCTGCTCGGAGCATCCATTAAGCACCAAGCTCACTGCTAAGCGCCTTCATGGGGCGGCTGAAAGGCTCCAACAATTAAGTTCATATTTTTTTTATATCGAAGACGTTTAGACTTAGAATTTTCTGAGTGAGGTGGCCTGAGCCTGGGCTTCTGGAAGGGGCAGGTATGTTCCTTCTGGGAGTGCTTAAGGAATTCATGCACGAGTACGGGGGAGGGGGATGGGGCGTCTTTCCCCATGTCATCCAGCTGCTGGGCAGCGGGGGTTGGGAAGGGCAGTTTCCTCTCGCCAGACTCCCCAGCAAGTTCTAGGGACCAGCAGGGATTCCGCCTCCTCGAGGGTGTATGAAGACGCCCGTCTTTCCTTGTGAGCCCCATTTTCTGATTCGCAGTTGGGTACCACACCAAATTCTGCATTTGAAGCTGATGCTCACGGCTCCAACTTGGCCCTCACCGAGCAGAGTGAAGCGAGCTGCTGCTACTTCCTCCCAGAACCCAGAGATGGACGGCACCCAGCGGTCCCCAGCCCGCTCCCGGCTTTCCACGGAGGCCGTCCCCCTGACTCAGCGCAGGTGGTTAGCCCTCCACCTCCTCCACGGCGCTGTTTCTTGGTGACTCTGCTTCGCCCCGAATATAACACTCCGCTTCACCCCGAAATAACAAGATGCTTATGGGAACTCTATTCAACAAATCACAAGTTTGCTTTCCTTTCGGGGTATGAACAGACACCCCTTCGCTCACACCCACCACACCCAGAAATGAGACAAACTCCCTAAGAGTTTGCAAGGGATTGACTCCACTCCTTTGTGCTGGAGTCCAGCTGTCTCAAACATGTTCTAAATTAAGCTGGTTGCTGCAACGGACTGGTCTTGCTTCATAGTAACTAGAGAGGAACAGACCTGCAACGTAGGAAGCACACACAGCAGGTGCCTTCACCCGTGTCTGTGTGTGGGTTCAGGTCAAGTCCAGCCTCAGACTCGGCCCACGTTGAGTCTGGCCACAGCAGGGCCAGCGTATTCTGCAAAGGTCCCTCATCCCCACCCAGCCTCTGCTCACACGTTTCCTCCCTCCCTGCCCTAGCGAGCATCTTTCCTGCTTCGCCCAGGGATGTGACTGTTTACTCCTTCACATCCCAAGGACCTCAGGTTTGAGGGGCTGAAGAGAAGTCCCCCTAAGTCCTGCTATGAGATGAATTTATGCCCCTTCATACGCTGAAGCTCCAACCCCCAGCACTTGGGACAGTGACTGAGTTTGGCGTTGGAATCTTTAAAGAGGTAAAGGGAGGTTACTAGGGTGGGCTCCATTCACCGCCTTAGGAGGAGAAGCAGAGAGGACTCGGACCTGAATGGAAGACGCGAGAGCCCTGGAGATGGCGGCCTCGGAGAACCCATCTGCCAAACATCTAGATGTGGGCTGCTAGAATTCTAAGGAACTGAGCTTCTGCTGCTAACCCTGCCACCCAGGGAGACCGCAGGGGTCCCACTGCTTCCCTGCCAGACACCTGACTTCTCCGCGTCCCCTTACCCCCAGCGGGCTACTGTCCACCTTCACTTGTGGCTATGAAACCGGAAACTGTTCCACTTCCCCAAACTGCCCACCGAGCATCCTGTCCCTGGCCGCGTTCTCGCCCACCTGGCTCGGACAACTGTCGCTGCAGGAGCCAGTCCTGGAGTGGACCAGGCCACGCCGTCTCCTCGCTCCCTTCCACAGCTGGCATTCTGGATGGCGACTGCTCCAGAGCAAGCTCATACATCTGCCAGCCTGTTTCCTCTTAGCCTAAGCTAGAGGCCAGCCTGGATGTGCCCACGATCTGCCCCTCTGCCCCTTCCCGGGGAGGCCAGCCACGCTCCACCCTGTTCACGCACGGCCACAGGGCTCGGTCTGCTGCTGCCTCTGTCCACTCTGCTGCCGCCTCCTGCCCCCACCATCTGATCCTTTCTGCCCTTCCTAAGCCCCCAACCGCGTGGTGTCAACAAGCACCCCCAACTTTGCCAAAGCAGCACGCCTGCCTCCAGCCACCTCGCGGTGACAGTGGCCTCTCCCTCCTCCGAACACCTCACCCTGTTCCGCAGCCCCCCTTGAAGGGGGGCCAGCTGTTCCTGCCCCTCTCGCCCAGTCTGTCCAGCTACTCAGTGGGTCTCTGCGCCCGCCATCTGCTGGAAGAACGCCGAGGTTGCCTACCACCTTCAAGTCGCTGGATCCCGCGGACATTTCTCTCCCGGTTCTCTGGACTTGTTAAAAGGCGACTCTGGGGCGCTCCGGGGTGGTGCAGCGGGTTAAAGCGCAGCGCGGCGAAGCTGGCCACAGTGACTTCAGCCAGAGTCCGATCCGATCCCCGGGCTGCAGCTGACCCACAGGGCGCAGCAGACCTCTCCTGTCTCCCCGCTGCTCCCCAGTGTATTTCAGTCCATCTGCCTGTTCTGCTCCCCACTCTGTCTCTGGTGAATCCTCTCACCCCCTGCAACTCTGGCCTGTACCCCAGTTCTGCATAAATAAATAAATAAATAAATAAATAAATAAATAAATAAATAAATAAATAAATAAATAGTCTTTCAGAAATAAAAGGGCAACTCGGGATGCTTCCTGCTTCAAGACCCTCTCTCATGACATCCCAGGGCTTGCGGATCGGGCCTCACCTCCCCCGCACACCCCAGCTCACACTCTGTCCTGCCGGTCTGCGTGCTGGCGGCTCTGCGCAGGCGCCGCCCTGACTGCCGCCCCCCACTACCCTCGGGTGCCTGGTCCTCAGGGCTGCCCCACCCGGCCTCGGCACAGCCCCCCTGACACGCCCCCCTTGCACCCTGCGGCCCCGGGGCACAGCCTGGGTATTTGGGTGTCACTGGTACTGTTGTCTCTCCTGCAGACGCCAAGCTCCGTAGCCCGGGGCTCCCCCGCACCCCAGCACCTGGCCTAGCGCACAGCATGAGCGCAGCGGCCGGCCCCGGGCGCTGCTGGCACTGACGGTGTCGCCGCACCGAGGTCACCGCCATCTTGGGCACCTTCCCCCTGGCCCCAGGGCCCGGGCACCAGCCTTGCCACGTGCCACGGTTGCCCCCCTTTGGTGGAAAGCAAAGTGAGGCCCAGGTCCCCATGCGGCCACCCGCTGTTCGGTACATCATGTTTTGGGGGGCAGCCTCGTTTGCAGAGGGCTGCCGCTGCCCGAGCTGAGCAGCCGCGGCAGACTCCGGCCACGGCCTGAAGTATTAGGTGTCCGGGCTGGGAGGGGAAGTGTGCCGGCGTCTGGGGAGCGTCCAGCAGGACACATACTGCGTGCTGTGGGGGAAGTCGAGCAGGTGCGCCATGGTGACGAAGGGGTGGCTCAGGGTCTCGATCGGGGTGATTCTCTTGTCGGCATCTATGGTCAGCATCTTCTTCAACAGGTCGATGAACTCCCGCCGGTCTGCCTTCTCCACCAGCATGTCGCTGCCCTCCAGGTCCGTCGTCATGTTCACCTGGGAGCGGGCGGGGACAGGTTACCGAGACCCCGTGGCGCCTGCCCGCTCCCCGACTTCCCTCATCCTCTGCCCTGCAGGTCCACCCTCATCTCTCTGTCACCCGCCAACCCCTGGGAGGCCACGCGGCCCTGTCAGGGTGAAGGTGCTGCCCCAGCCGTGTGCCGGCAGGGGCCGCTGCTGGAGCCCCGGCGGGGCGGGTGCGGAGTCTGCTCCTGCCCTGAGGTCCCCTCGCCCCCACTGAAAATAAGGACGATGCAAGAGAGTCCTGGGACTGGCCGCCTCAGAGGTGTGCAGTTGCATCACACCACTGAGCGACACGCTTCCAGGTGGCTAGAACCGTCAGTGTCTTCTGTCTCCCCCCACACCCGCAACCTGGCAGAAGGACACCGGGAGCACACAGGCCTGTTCAGTGAACCTTCAGAGGGGAGTGTGGGGGCCCCGCCCCCTCTTTTGCACCCACAGCTGCACCCTCTCGTGGCTGCGAGCGAGAAGGGCGCCCTCCGGTTTTCGCCGCGTCGCCTCTGGACAGGACTGGACGCGGGTTTTCTCCCAGGTCTGTATCGTGCTTGGCTGTGCAGGGCTTGCTGGGTGGTGCTCTCTGTATTTTCCAAGACATGCTCTTGGAAAGCAATTTCAGTCTCCTCAGACAATCTAAGCTTCTAATCAACTGACAAGTATACTTTACTCGGAGTCATGCTTTTTGGTTACACTCATCTGCAGCAAGAGGTGCGCTAAGTGTTTATGGGGCGATAGCTTTATTTCTCATTGCTTTAAAGAAAAACCCACTTTGGGTTGCCCTGATTTGAGACTAGTTTTCACGCTAAAAAGAGCCGAAGTTCCCGAATTTTCCCTGGAATGCACAAAGGCGAGAGTAAGCGGAGAGAGACAGAGCGGCGGGCTGAATTCTGCCCTGGTGCTGAAGTCCTAATGCAGGATCCTGTCCTGACACGTTACTCACGAGTGGGGTCTTTGCAGCTGTTAAGTTGAGGCAGCTGGCGTCGGGGTGGGCCCTAAACCAGTGACGGGCGTCTTTAGAAGAGAAAGAAGGGGGCGACCTGGGCACAGCACGAGCAAGCACAGGGGTGAGCCTGAGTGGGACGAAGGCGGACGCCGGCGGGAGCGAGCCCCCGCGGCCAGGAGAGAGGCGGGCCCTCCCGGGGACCTGGCCCTGCTGACCCTCTGATTCCAGACTTCTGGCCTCCAGGGCTGCTGCTAGAGAACAACAGCTGAAGTGCCAGCGCGAGGTGCCCGGTGGGGGCGGCTCATGGGGCAGAAACACCCACTCGCGGGCAGTAAGCTCAAGCGCAGGGGCGGGCTTCTCGTCTCGGGAAAACCGGTAAGACTGGCCGGGACTGTCTGGAAATGAAGCCGGAAGCTGGCAGCTATGTTCACGGGGCTGGTGCGAGGCTGAAAGCGTGTCCCCAGTCAGCTGGTGTCTTACAGTGCACGTGGACGTGGAGGTGACAGACCCGGTCAGCCCCGTGGGGGCGGGGGGCTGCCCACCCCCCGCCTGGCCCTCGGCAGAGCAGGGTCGTGCTCGGTGTCACGGGCACACCGCCCACTCCCAGCTTACCTGCGCCATGTCATCCAGACAGTTGAAAATGTACTTCCTCGCTTCTTTCGACTTAATACCCGTCTCTGCTTCATGGTCATCCGGGGTCTGGTCAAGGGAGACAAAGGCGGGTTGGTGTGTGGCTTAGCTCCTAGTCGCCCTGACGCAAACCCTGGAGCTTCTCCCGGTTCAGAGAAGGAGAGTTTGGTTCTTCTTACAGTGACTTGCTCATGAATTTCCTTTGTTCTTCACGCTCATGCGAACTCACCTCTCCTCCTCCCTCTCTCCTCCCCGCTCCTCACACCTGCTCTGAGTCTGGCCTGGAAGATTGTCAGATGGGTAAGTTGTTCTGTCTCCTACATTCTTCCCTATGTGTAAGGGATAAGGTAAGGTTCCACAATGTTGCCTCAATGGACAAAATAAAAAGGTGAGACCCCACCCATAAGGAAGCCAAAGCCCTTTCCCATGCATTTTAATTTACTTTTTAAAAAAAGATTTATTTATTGATGCATATAGAACTGGGGTACAGGCCAGAGGTGCAGGGGGGCTGGTTAGAGAGTTCGCCAGAGACAGTGAGGAGCAGAATAGGCAGATTGACAAAGTACACTGCTGAGGGGCGCAGCAGGCGGGTCAGGAGAGGTCTGCCGCGCCCTGTGGGTCACCTCCAGGGCTGGGGATCAAACTCGTGTTGACGCAGCTGCCTAACCCACTGCGCCACCAGGGAGGGCCGTGTTTTTAATTTTTAATATAATTTTGTTGACTCAGCGCTGTGCACAGAGCGTGTGCTGGGCTATTCTGAAGTGAGGAGCTCCTTTGATTCCCTTCACAGCTGTCTGAGGCAGGAGACAGTGACACCGGTCACAGGCCCAAGGTGGCAGCAGGCTTGAGTCCGTGCCCCCTCCACTGCTGAGGGATCGACCACTGGTTGGGACCCCAAAACAGCCTCGCCTGGGGAAGCTGCAACTAGCGATCCCCACAGAAGGTTTTGGACTCATCTGAGGAACGCAGGTTATTCATCCTTGAAAATCTCACTTAAGGGCACACACCTGGAGCTGCTGAGAGCTGGGCTTCGATCCCAGGAACAGCTGGACAGATGGGACGAACCTCTCACCTGAGACACAGGCGTGAAGGTCCTCCTGCCTGGCTGTACCCTCCTCCAGCCAGGACTCTCCACTGGACTTGGCCTTGGGCCAGTCACCCCCACAGCCCTGCCCTCAACAGCCCAGGCGCCTGCGTAACCCCCTGAACCTCTGTTCCGAATCTTTTGTGACTAGAGGCCACACATGATCTTTCAATCGTATCAGAACTTGGTTTCTGTCAAAGAGCCAAAAAAGCCAAAACCCAAAAACAAACAAAAAACACCCACCCAGCTCTTGCAAAAAAAAAAAACCCACAAAACCCACCACCTGAAATGAACATGAAACATACCCAAGATTTGCACAATTCCTCCCTTCCCAGGAAACGCTTCCATCCTAATGCCGCACAGGGCAAAGCGAAAGCAAAGCTCGTTTCCACTGAATAAAACACCCGCGAGTTTATGTGCGACCAGGACCCTGGCCCGCTGTGGGCTGGCAGGGCCAGCTGGGCCTTGGGACGCGGGTCATTAGTCCTCTGCCCTCACCCCTCACCCTATAGGCGAGCCCCTCCTCCCCGACCTTGCTGGGGCTCCCCTTCAGCTCGCACCCTGTCCCCACCAGGGCACTTGGTAGGGGGCTTGAGCCTGGCTTGGTCTCGAGGGCTGGGGCTGGCACATTTCCCTCTTCTGCGCAAACCTAGGTCACCCAGGTCTATTAATGAAATCCAGGAGTTTTAGCAAGCACAGCTGGGGCACCACACCTGCACCCCGCCCTTCGCCTGTACCCTCCTCCTTCGCGGGGTGTCGGGCGTCATCGAGGAGGGGGGAGGCGCTGCCTACCTTCAACCTCCACAAAGGATACGGCGAGTCTGTGTCACGGTTGAAAAACCTAGTTGTCTTTGTCCCTGCGCTTAATAAATATTCAGCCGGCAAGCCTTGTGTTTGTGAAATATACCGAATCTGCAAGAAATGAAGAGAATGAGGTCAGGGCTTAACTGTCACCGTACATATGGGATATTAACGGCTCTAGTGCCTCTGAGAAAAAGTGAAAATGACAGTTTTATGGGGGAAGAAAGGAGTCAAAAAGAACAAGGGGAGGGAAAGGGGACGGAAGAAAGAAAAGCCAGGGGAAGGGAGCACGGTCTGGGAGCCCCCGGCCAGCACCCCGCTCTCCGCACTCACCTGATCGTATTCTGACGCCCCGGGGTAGAGCGGCCAGCCCAGGAACAGCTCCGCGATGACGCAGCCCAGGGACCACATGTCGATGGCCTCGCAGAACGGTAAACCCAGGATGATCTCAGGGGCCCTGGAGCACAAGGAGGAGGTGATGAGCCCCCGGGCAGGGCGGGGCCCCTCTACCTTACTGACCCCCTCGTGCTGTGTGGCACAGATGCCACCCAACGTTTTGGGGTGACCTTCCCCATTAGTGGGGAACTGGTTCAGGTGGGGCTTGGCTGAAATGAAGGGAGGGTGTGCCTGCAGAACAGACCTAGGGGAACCACAGCTAGGCCCCCCCATCCCAACACACCGCAACCGGCCCCACTCATAAGCACGTCAGAACTGTCAGCAGAACAGAGATCAACTGTCTGCTTGACGTCTCGGAGCTGGAAGCCAGGATACGACCTCTCGGTAGGAAAGCCTGCTTTTTCCAGGGGAACCCTGAAATGCAGGTTCATTTCAGGTGCCAGTAGGGGCTGGACAAGTTGCCTTCACCCAGAATCACGGGATTCTGGCCAACATCCCTCCCTTATGCCCACAATCCCTCCCTGAAAAATTTGCATCAAACAAGGAAACCTTGTCATTACGACGTCTCCCACATTTCTCTCCTGTAACGTGACAGTTCCAGAAACTTTTCCATGAGACCACAGGCTGGGGATTGCCTGGAACTCCGTGACAGTTTGTCCCTTCACCTGGCAGACAAGTGACAAGCTGGAAGCTTCTAAGGAAACGGCACAGAAGATACGGGTATGTGGTGGTCAGCACCACACAGACTACAGAAAGCAGCTTCTTCCCTAACAAGTTGTCGCGATGAGGCAGGGGGCGCATTCGAGAGACCCACGCTCGAAGAATGAGATATAAACACAGTTAATTTTGTCTTTAATTGAAGCAGTGCTGACAGTGAAAGCCTTATGCCTGGCATCTCGATGTTTCTCCAGGTTTCCAGTGGCTTGATTAATTAAGCTGGGGAGCAGCCGGAGGGGGCAGCACAGAGAGAGTGTGTATACTGTGAGTATATGTGGGGAGGGGGTTGTTGAGGGGAGGTGGGGGTGTGGGGGAGGAAGCCTGCGAGCAGAATGCCTCTGCTCGCTTCTGAGCTTCTAGCCGATCCGTCCACCCCACCCACTTTCCTCCTTCACATTTGCACTAAATGGGACTTTTTCCTCTATAATAACACACAAATGCCAAGGTGTCTTGGTACAAAGTCTTAGTTTTTCAGATGTAGGAAGGAGTTGCTGGTGCTTATGGGCAGCAAGATCCCCAAGACCCCGGTTTCCTGGTCAAGACTGGTCTTCCCAGGCTCGGGAGGAGGGGAGCCGCCGGCCCTGGCCCCCCACCCTTGGGGGCTTGTCTCCTCCCAACTAGCTGCTGCGCCTCATGTGAGCACACGAGGCTGCTCCTGCCTGCCCCACAGATGCACTGGGTGCGCCCTGGATGCCGGGCACACTTGCCACTGCACTGTCCTGCGTCACGGGGCTCCATCCCCATGATGGCCCTGTCGCCGCGCCCAGGGCGCCCACCCACAACAGGGCCACCAGGCCAGCAGCCCAGCCCGAGTGCACGTGTGATGAGAGCACCGCAGTCAGTCTCAGTAGAGATGGTTTTGATTTATTGAGAAAGCCCTCAGAAATGTGGGGGGCATCGGAAAAGAACATGGCAGAAAGAGCCTGGCTCTAACACACGGGGAGGGGGCAGAACCCACTTTTCTTTCTGTCTCCCTGTTCCAGAGTCCCTCACATGTGGACTTTCCTGGGAGAAGAGTCCTTGACCTGGTTCAAGAGACACCCTCTGCCCCCCAGTTGGGATCAACACGTCCACATAGCTGCCCCTGTTCCCGCCACCTGGGCCCTCCCTGCCTCTTGCTGACTGGACACTGGTCTTGAGGTCAGTTAGGGACAGGCTGGCTTGGCGGCAGTTTTGGATGTGACCATGAGCCTGTCCTCTGCTAGTCAGCTTAGCTATTCCCTCTGCTGCCCCAAGAGACTGCGGGGAGACCCTTTCCTGGTTTTTGTTTCTTGGTGAAGAGCTAACTCAGCTGACACGCTCCAGCATCTCCTGTCAAAAAAATAAAGCAAAACCCAAGCACCAGACCTTTTGTCAATCCCTTCATCTCCCTGTAGCTGCTGCCCTATTTCACTGCTCTCCCTTCAAAGTCAAATCTCTCTAAAGAAAACACGAATTCGAAGAGATCTATGCACTGCGTGTATTTAAGACAGCCAAGTGCTGGAAGTAACCCAACTGCCCACCGATTGACGAATGGATAAGAGACATGGTACAGATACAAAAGGAATACTATGCAGCCGTTAAAAAGACAAACCCCTGGGCCCTCCCTGGTGGAGCAGCGGGTTAAATCACAGCACTGAGAAGCTTAAGCCACTTCCGCATGAGTTCGATCCCCGCCTGCCCCGGAGGTGACCACATGGCGTGGCAGACCTCTCCTGACCCGCCCGCTGCTCCCCTCAGCAGTGTACTTCGTCCATCGGCCTGTTCTGCTCCCCGCTCTGTCTCTGGTGAAGCCTCTCACCGCCCCTGAGCCTCTGGCCTGTACCCCAGTTCTGTATGCACAAATAAATAAATCTTTAAAAAAAAAAAAGACGAACCCCTGCCACTTGCAGCTTAGTGTAATAAGCCAGAGAGAGACAAACACTGTTTGATTTCATTATATGTGGTACACTGGGAAGACAAACATGAAAGAAGTAAACTTTTGGACTATAAGACCAGTGCTTGCTGGAAGGGAAGGGGGAGGGAGGACCAACTGGACAAAGGGCCCGGTGAAAGGCTGGACTTTGAACAGTGAACGTCACACTGTAGATGGCCACATGGCTCAGCCCAAGCTTACGCTTTCGTCGTGTTATGATGCAATGCTACTTTAGTTTTTTTTTTTTTTTTAAAGATTTATTTATTTGTGCATACAGAACTGGGGTACAGGCCAGAGGCTCAGGGGCGGTGAGAGGCTTCACCAGAGACAGAGTGGGGAGCAGAACAGGCAGATCGACGAAGTACACTGCTGAGGGGAGCAGCGGGCGGGTCAGGAGAGGTCTGCCACGCCATGTGGTCACCTCCGGGGCAGGCGGGGATCGAACTCATGCGGAAGTAGCTTTAGCTTCTCAGTGCTGTGCTTTAACCCACTATGCCACCAGGGAGGGCCCAATGCTACTTTAGTTTTAATGCAAAGGAGGTACTTTTCCGCAGCTTCCCCCACTCTGGCTCATGTCACTGTCACACCCCCTCTAGTTGGACTCCTGCCCTCCGCTCTCCCCAGCAGTGCAGGGCCGGTCAGGATCCCAGTCATGTGGAGTCGCAGTTCCAGGGCACAGGAGCCCCGTGTCCCCCACCCCGTTGACCACTCCCTCTGGCCTTGGTCACTTGGTTTGCCCACATGGCTCCCTCCTGTGTCCGTCCTGCCTCCATGGCTGGCCTGTCTTCCTCTCTCAAGCACGATGGCCAATCCTGGGCCCCCTTTCTTCTCTCTTTATTCTTGCTCTAAGTCATTAAGGGTTGAAGTGTATGCCTTCCCCTCCACCAGAAAAAGACGTGCTCTCTAGCACCTCATGATGGGATCTGATTTGGGGGTGGGGCTGTGTAGATGGACCCAGTCTGGTGTGGTCACACTGGAGCAGGCCCTTCACCTAGCGTGAAGATGGAGAGAAGAGCAGGCCTGGGGGAGCACCACAGGGAAGAGCTCAGAGCTGGCTCCCCTGTGCCAGGCCCGGGAGGCTTGGGGGACACCCGTCTGTCTGTAGGTGGTTCACAAAAGAATTACAACAAGAAAGCCAGAGAGAGAGGAGGGAGGGGTGCCTGGGGGTGGCACCAGGATAATGCAGGACAGGACTTCCGGGCTGTGAAGGCTCAGGCTTCACCCTCGGGCCTATCTGTTCTTCATGCTCTTGGAGCCATTACGCTGCTCAGCGGCCCCTGCCTCTCGGGGGCCCTGTGTCTCCTGCCTTCGGTTTCAGCCTTTTCCAGTCCTTCCTGAAACTCTCCCTCATCCCAAAGGATGTGCCCATTTCTGACCCAGCCTGTCCACCCCCGCCCCCTTTCCTCCCTCACACACAATGCCCACTCTCTCTGCCGGAGAATACGGGCCATGAGGAAGGAAACACGGATGAATGCTAAACAGTGGGGCTGGCCGGAGGGGCAAGCGCTGTTCTCAGTGAGCTCACATTCTGCCCTACGGACCTCCTCAGGGCAGTGTCTGTGGGCCTCGATTTATGGCCTGCAGGGGACATGGGCAGGAGCTTCTCTGCCTGGCCCCTGGGAAGTCTCGGGGCCCCAGACCATTCTGCTGTGACATTGCGGGTGCCCCCCCCCCCGCTGTGCCAGGCTGCGGAAGCGCAAAATCAAGTCCAAGAGGGGTCTTAGGGTTCGGCTCCTGTTCACGCCTCAAAGCATCTTCAATGGTTTGCACTTGGTGAAGAAGAAACTGTTCTGACTGATGGTTATTCTCAGCCAGAATTTGTTCAAGCTCCACTCGCCACTCACTGACTTGAATTAAATCCACCGTTTACTGTCTGCTGTGTCCTGGGCACCATGCTGGGCGCTGAAGGTCACACAATAAACCAGGTTTAAGCCTCCTCCTGGTGTTTGCCACAGGCCCGGGCAGCCACCTGCCAACATCTAACAGGAGGCTGTGGGAGTGCAGGTACATGCATGGGGAGCAGTGAGGGTGAGAGGGAGCAAGGACGCTTCTGAGGGGCAGGGCGGGACGGCTGGCCCAGAATGTGGGTCTTCCCCATCGGGCCCAGAACCGCTGGGGTTCTGTTCACAGCATCCTCAGCCGCCCCACAGAATCGTCTTACAGAGTTCCCTTGATGCTATTTTAGGACATCAAAAATACTTTCAATGTACCCGAAGTGGCAGACAAAATCTGCACCTAAGAAAGTGGGGATTGTTCCTCTCCAACGTTCCCATAGCAAGACAGCGAGAATTCTACTTCCCCGCGAAAGAGAGCAGATCGCGGTCATTCCTGACACTGCAGGCCTCGAGGCCCTGTTCTTCTGCCTCACCAGCTCTAGGGTGGGTGCTGGGCTGATCGCACTCCCAGAGAGAGCCGGGTGGCATGAACTGCCTGTGCGGTGGGTTCGGGAC